CAAAGCTAGTCCTAACTGAGCCATTACCCAGTAGCACAATCCGCAGTGACAGCTTCCACCTGTCTCACTCTGAGACATACACATCACAGCAATTCACCAGCCTTCAACTGAACGAAGCTGCTTCTCCTCAGCCTACCCTGTCTTAATAGTGGCTGCTATGAAGACACACAAAAGCAAAGTGTGAGTGTTCCAAATTTGTCCCTATAACTGACATCCTCAGACATACACAGCCAAGGGACCACAATCCTACCATCGGTGCTGTACAGGTCCAGAGTGCCCCCATCGCTCTTCTCCCATGGCGGAACCAGGTACAGGATGAAGGCAATTCTCCGTCCTTCCAGCTCATCATCATGGCATAGCAGGGTGTCTGCAATCACAAGCTTTAGCATGCTTGCACAGGGTTTGCAGAATTCATTCATTTCAGTGACCATTCCCCATCCCTGCACCTTTGAAAGCAAAATCCATCCCCTTCCCTGGAGCTGCATCCTCATCTGGCCACAAGCCCATCTGATTCACAGACCTTGTAGATGTAATTTCCTCTGGACTCCATTACAATTACATCAGCTGAACTAGTCCATCAAAGTGTGTAACTACAGGGCCCTCCTGCTACCCTCCTCTCCTCTTGCAACTGCTGCTACTGCTCAGTGAGAGGAAATTGCTCAGCTTTCCCGCATGATTCAAACACTGTCTCTTAAAGCCACAGTTGCATCAAAATGCACTTTGAGCGAGTTCCCTGCTGGCAAGAAACGCTGTCCTGACAGTGCTTGTGACTGAAGGTCTACTCAGCCAGGACAGCATGGGTGGTACCGGTGCAAGCTTCCTTCTCTCCACTCCATCGATCTCACTCAATCAGGAGAACCACTTCCAGGGGGAGGCTGGTGTCTGTAACTCACTCAGTCCTGGGCCAGCAAGGGGACCCACATGACAAGATAAGATAAAGGTATTAATGACAAACACCAGGAAAACCTTAACTTCCAGAATTTGAATCCTAGCCATCCTGGGGCCATTGGACTGGTCACAAACACTGGATTTCTTCAAAGAGGGGCGGCAGGGATGTGGGGGAGCTCCTGAGTTCACTGGGCCTGTTTAAACTATTAATAGCAAAAATATTCAGGTATATCACTTCTTCCATTTTCTGGCCACGACTTGCTTCCTGCCTGAATCTTTGCCTTGCTGGAGGACAGCTTCGAGGAGCAGGAGTTGCCAGGGAGCTTTGAAACTGGGGTCCCCTATGGCAATGTAATGCTGTCCTTCCCCTCAGAGGAGAAGGCACCCTGCTCACTTACCTGTATACTCATACTTCGCACAGGACAGGTCAATGGTTGGTTCCAGCTCCACTTGCGTAACTGCAGACAGCCACTCCCGGAACTCTTCAAACAGAACTTTCCTGAGAAGACAAGCACACAGCAAATGGGACATGTAGCCCCTCAGCCTAGGAAACCTTTAATGCTGAGGTGCTGCAGCACTGAGTGCATTGTCATGAACTATATTCAACTTATTGCAACTATTTGTAAATGCCAACAGTTAAAGATGTATAATTCCTGCCCGGAGTTTTGCTTTCATGGGCAACCCTACAACAAACATCCGGGAGTGCAGCCCCTATGCTGCTGAGAAACATTTAAAGCAACAAAGCAGTGAGAATGGATTTAGTCAGTAAGGAAAGAGATGAAAGTTTCAGACTTCTACACAGCAATTTTACAGTGCTAAAAAATAAAGAAGGGTTTTGGGGGAAAGGAGGATGAGAGGATTGAAATGCTAATGGGGAAGCAATCAAGGAGGAAACTGAGATTATCATTAGAACTAGGTGGATGGGGGAATCTATGCAATTTCTTCCCTCCTCCCCCAAAACAGTAAAGCATATCTTATACAGCTTGAGTTAATGAGGCACACAGTTTGGTGATAAATGGGGTTTTCGTTAAGAGACGATGTTAGATTTAACAAGAAAAACCAAACCAAACAAAAAGATGCATCAGGTAGGCTATATCAGGCTTTTAATGAGAAGCTCACAAAAAATTTTTTTAAAAAAGATTATGCAATATTATCAAATGTGCCTTTTTCTGGTATTTTTTCCTGAAATGTTTACTGTAAACTTTATAAAAATAGTTATAGAAAGTTTTTTTACCAAAAACTATTTTTGGTAAACAAAAAATTCTAGCAATAGTGTTTTTAAAAAACTGTCCCAATCAGAAAAAATAATCATGAAACATTTATGAAAGAGAGTCCATTTTCAACAACCCTGAAACAGGGTTTTTCACAAATTTTTCACAAAATGATTTTCATTTTCTGGCCATGTTCCTTTTAGACCTCTAGAAAAGGGTGCCTGATCATTTGCCATGATTTACAGGAGCTACTTTACCTTAATGCTGAGATGTGAGGCTCTTTTCTCTTCTTCAGATCATCAGACTACAGACATGCATGGAAAATAAGAACAATTATTTCATTTAGACTCTGCTCTAAGTCACAGCTGAAATAATAACTAAGGACAGTACTTAAAATAAATATTTCTAGGACCATCATCAGTGCAACTTTTCTGCGACGATTCTGGGAACAGGAGTGCAGAATGGAGGGCAGAGGGCCATTGCAGGCAAAAGTGGAATTAAGTAACCCAAAAGTTATTAGGCACAGTGCCACCATCACCAATACAAGTTAAAGGTCTCAGGACACTGGTCCAAGACTGTGTAGCAAGGTTGAGTCACTAACATGCCAAGGAAGTGTCTGCACTTGGGAGGAGAGTATCTGTATGCTAGAGCTACCAGACCTCCAAAGAACCTCTATGTTCAGCATTGTACAGGACGTAGACATAGGAATTTCTCATTCAGGTGACAGAGATGGAGCGACAGTCAATTTTCAGAGGTCTGGGGTGAAGAAACCAGAAAAGGACTACTACTGTCTAGTATTTAGGTTTAAACCTGCATTCTCCTGTAGTCAGTCTGCAGCTCTAATTCTGCAGAACTCATCAGTAAATACTATTTCATGTTCATATGGGTACAGACAAGCAACACAGCACATAAACAACCCCAAGAAGAATGGTCTTCCTTAGACTTTACAGATTACAAACTTCAGAGTGCAATAGGAGGGAGCCTGGTCACATAAGACTGGGACATAGGCCTTAAGGGGTTTCACTCCCAGCTTTTCCATTAACTTGAGATCCCCTACAGACCACAAAGACAATCACAGCACATATGTGGGCATGGCAGAATTCAAATTTTAAAAAAATAATTTCAACAGATAATATTAAGATTTTTAAGATTTTTTTTTTTATTGCACAGTTGTGCAAAATTATGGGATTTAAGGATTTTTACCCCCGTGTTTATTCATTTGAATTTTCACAACTGCAGGAAACTGAAGGGGGTTGGACAATAATTATTTAATGACAGTAGACACTGATATTCAAAAAGTTAAAGCTTTATAATAATTAAAACACAAGTTGTCAGTGTCACTTGTCAAAATATACCAAGTAAATATCTTTAAGTCAAACTCTAATAAGTTGTCAAGCAGCATTTTTCTTACTTTGCCTATCTGTAAATTTCTATTATTATTATTGATGGAAATATTTTTGTTGTTTTTTTGTGTATGGTGAAACAGAAATTTACTGATAAAAATCTAATCCTTCCAAGCCTAGATGTGTTAGATAGATATAGCCAAGTTTTCCAAAAGCAGCCACTGGTTTTGGGTGCCTAACTCAAAACTGCTTGGTTCTGATTTTCAGAGATGATGAACACCCCAGACTTCAATTAAAGTCAGTAAGAGCTGCGTGTTCTCAGCACTTTTGAAAACAAGTACCTCGTTTTAGAAGCCTAATTTAGAGCCACTCAACAGTCAGTATCAGAGGGGCAGCCCTGTTATTCTGGATCTATAAAAGCGGCGAAGAGTCCTGTGGCACCTTATACAAGCTTATATAAGGTGCCACAGGACTCCTGGCCGCTTCAACAGTCAGTGGCAGCTTTTGAAAATACTTGCGGTAGCCTGTGGTCTGGCTTATCATTTCCAGGCCTCAGCGCTGCCAGCTGTTAAATGGCGGCACCCGCACATTCTGCGGGAGCATCTTAATGGGCTGAGCTCACGTTTGTAAGCCCTTAAAGAGGCGCCGACAGAGGGGCCATGGAAATGCACAGCGTCGCTGCCAGAGGTGTGCCGCCGTGTCAGATTTGGGCCATTCGGATGAAGACGCAGAAGGTTGGTCCTGTCCCGGAGAAGCACCTGTTTGAACTTGTACAAATCGTTGCACTTCTCGTGGAAATCCAGGTCCAGGAGCTCCGTCTGCAGCCCGTCCAGGAAGCCCGGGCACTGGAGGAAGTTGGGGATCACGCAGTGACAGAAGGGAACAGGATCCACCGCGATGGCCTCTAGGACGGTAAATAAGACACGGTGAAGCCCGGGACGCTCCGCGCAGCAGGACAAAGCCCAGCCCCCCGCTCGGCCCTGGCGCTAGGGTCGTGGCCCCCCCGGGCCAGCCCTTGCCCGGGCTCCCCAGCCAGCGGGGGCCCGGCTCCCGCCCCGGGCAGGAGAGAGCGGCCCGGCGCGGCTCCCCGGGTCTCGGTACCGTGGTTGAGCGGCTCCCTGCAGCCCCAGGCGGCCCCCGCCTTCTCCTTCAGCGCCGGCTCCCTGATGGCCGCCGAGAACTCCCCGCGCACTTCCCGTTTGTCCCGCTTCTTGCCCGGCTCCCCCGGGGAGGGGGCCCGGGCCCGCGACCCACGCCGCGGCCCACTCATGGGGAAAGCGCCGCCCGGCCCGCGGGGCTACAGCAAGCCCGAGGCGGCGCCTACAACTCCCATCATCCCTCGCGCAGCCACCGGAACCAATCGGCCTGAGCCGGGAAGGGCAGAGCAAAGCTCTGATAGGCCTGGGGGTGGGGGAGGGCAAGGCTACATCAGCCAATAGGGACGCTGAAGGATCCTGCGGCGGGAGCGGGATGAGCGTCTAGAAAGGCGGGCGGCGGAAGAGGAGCCGTAGCCGCGCTCTATGGTCCTGGCGCTCTGTGCCTTCGTCTCTATGGTTCCCCTTTCCGGCGCGCGGGCAGGCGGTTCCGGCGCAGCCACTGGCGGTGTGTGTGAGGCCTGGCGGGGATGTTAATGGTGGACGCTGCTCCCGCCGCTGAGCAGCAGTGACCCAGCCCCGCCCGCTACCATGTCCGTGGTGCCGCCCAACCGCTCGCAGACCGGCTGGCCCCGCGGGGTGAACCAGTTCGGCAACAAATACATCCAGCAGACCAAGCCGCTCACGCTGGAGCGGACCATCAACCTGTGAGTGCCCGGCCCGCGGGCGGCCCCCCCCACCCCGGCCCCCGCGGGGCCAGGGCATCCGCCTGTGAGTGCCCGGCCCTGGGGGGGGGGAGGCCCCGGCCAGCCTCGGGCCCCAGCCCTCCCTGCACTCCCCTCCCTTGTCTCTCTGGGAGAGACCCGCCCCAGCTCCCGGGGGAGGGAGAAAATCCCCTCAGTCCCCGGGCGCTGCTGCCGCTGGAGAAAGCCACCAACCCTTCCTTCCCATCCCCCTGCTTGTACCTCAGCCTCACCTCCCCCTGGGGGCACCCCCGACCCGCAGGGAGGAGCTCCCTCCTAACCCCATCCGCGCACGCTGGGGAGGGCTGGACTCGCTGGGTAACTGGGGAGGCCTCTTTGCAGGCTCGTGGTCTGGAGGAGACTTTCAGTCTCTGAGGAGAGGCTGGAGGTGTAGATCTAGTGAAATTTAAGAGCATGTTACTTTGGGAGCCCTGCACATCTGTTCTTCTTAGGTTTTTTTATTGCATCTGCCACTGTAGTATCTGAGCTTGAGTATGGGACATAGACGTTTGTGCCCCACGTGTGTTCACTGTTTAGTGTTTGCTGACTGTACAGTAAAAATATGTAATATCTGGACTACTGGGAGCTGCAGGATGCAACATGGTTTACACCGAGTATCAAAGATGTATGTGCTAATGTGCAATAAAAATATTTTCTTTGTGTAACTGCCTTAGTGGGCCATCTCCTGAAGCAATCTTTGCTTTACAATGGACAGCACATTCTGGTGCTTTCTTCTTTGATAGGTAGATTTGTGAAGTTGCAGTAACAGCAAATAACAAATGTAATACTCAACCGTTAACAATTAAACACTCAAAAAGACAGTTATGCATCACTTTTTATATAGTTGAGTTTATTCTTACAGCCCAAAGGGATGACTCATTTTAAAAAGTGAAAATGTTAATATACAGGGTTTCTTTCTGGAGGGAAAAAAATCAACAGGAAGTTCTGATTCTTTGGAATTTGTGTTATCAGTACAGGTGGATTTTTTTTTTTTTTTTTGGACCCAGGTTAAAGAATTTGATACATTTATAAAGTGTATAGCATTGCTGTATGGCAAATATAATCTTATTTTAGAGACTGAATTGGAATTTAAGATTTTGGAATAAATTAAGTGTAAGAAGAAAGTAGTGATGAAATCCTAAAGCTACAGATAAAGAGGAGAAAATGCAGGAGAATGGTAAAGTGGATAATGAAGACACCAGTGATCAGAAACAAGGGACATGGATTTGAGAGGATGTTCATTAAGAGCTTCTAAAACTAGAGATGCTTATAAAATAGCAGTATGCATGAGAGCAGGCTTTGGTATTCAGAGGGCTAGCCTTTGTGGTTTCTGTGCAGGGGAGGGGGGCTGGGGTGGAGGGAATTCCAAAGTAGCAATGAATTTGGGAAGCTGTATCTAAGATTAAGGTTGTAGAAAAGAAGAACCTAAAAAAGACAGATTTCAAGTTGAATGTTTGTAATTACTCTAATAGTCATTAAATTGAACTGTGACTTATTTATAAATGTATATTGGCATATTTCATCAAAGCACCTGCATACCACAGATCAATAAAATCAAGTACAAATCAACAAAATATAATGGAATGTCCCCTGCTTATTAACAAACCCATTCCCTGTTATTAGAATGAGTGTTCAAAAGTCTGTTAAACAGATTTTTAAACCACAAGTTTAAGATCTCTCCTAACTCAGGCAGTTGGTTTCAGAGATTCAGTTGGTCACAGAGGTATGGGCTCTTTACCTGAGTCTCTTACTGCCATTTGCAGAAAGCTTCAAACCCAGGACCAGTTACTGAGTGTGACCCAGCAGTTAACTCTTGTGGTGGCAGAGGGACAGTCTCTCACATAAGTGGAGCCTAAATCATAAATATTTTGAAATCAGTGATCGCTAACTGTGCAACAACAGTAGCTGACCGTCAAGATAAAGTACTGTGCACTTGTGCATGTGAGATCTGGATTAGTCTTCATGACATAGTAATATGTGGTGTTTTTTTTTTTTTTTAAACCCCCCCCTTCCCCCCCCCCCAGGTATCCACTTACAAATTATACATTTGGCACGAAGGAACCCCTTTATGAGAAGGACAGTTCAGTGGCAGCCCGGTTTCAGCGCATGAGGGAAGAATTTGACAAGATTGGAATGAGGCGGACTGTAGAGGGTGTTCTGATTGTTCACGAGCATAGGCTGCCCCATGTGTTACTGTTGCAGCTAGGTACAACGTTCTTCAAACTGTAAGTGTGTATTGTTGGAACTTGACATTACAGTAACATTTAGTAGAATCACAAAGCATTACCAAATACCAGATTAGTCGTACAGCAAGTGTACAAGCTGCTCAGCTGTGCTAATGGAGCATGGATTGAAGTGTGAAATCCAGCTGTTGCAAATGTTTATACAGGGAAACATTCTGAATCATCTCTCTCCTGCAGAAAATTGATGATGAGGTGCTATTAAGTGTGCTGACTTCTAGTCTTCGTTGTAGTACACATTATCAAGAGGAGATGTTTTTAGAATTCATCACCAGTAATTATTATTGTCCCTGAATGAAGGGACATGATGAAGATAAATCATGTATAAACACACTCCGTTAACATCTTAAGTCATTGAGGCTGAATTTTAAACATATAGCTGCTTATAGATTATCCTGTTTCCTTGCTATGCTTTTCTTGATATGGAAAGAGAAAGTAGATGAATTCTTGTAAATTTCACACAATTCTGAATTAGAGGTGGGAAAGACCTGATGGGTTATCCGGACCACCAGACCAGAGCAGATTATCAGCCCACAGTAGCTTACCTTCTAGTTTTTGTGCACTCCTACAAGTGTGGTGTGTGTTTTTTTTTTGGGGGGGTTTGGGTTAAAAACAAATGCAGGCGCAATGCCTACAGCTCAAACCTACCCTTTTCCCATTTTTCTCAAATCATTAGGCCATATCTGTTAAATTTTTTAGCTAAACTGTGTCCTTTTGAAAAGTCCTAGTAGGAACAGAGCATGTTGTTGTTTATCACGTTTTACTGAAAATAAGTCATTGTAGCCATGAAAAAACTAATTGGAGGTGATCGACTCAAAAAACATAGTGACCATGCATGCTACCCTATTTAGTTTTGAAGTTGTAATAAATCCAGTAAGGTGAAATTTGAAAGTTCAGATTCTTTTGGCTATTTCTTCTGTTAAGAGCTTGCAAGTAAGTTTGTAAATTCCTAAAACTGAAGAACTGAGACTCCCTTAAACTTACCTGTGAATATATCTGTAAATAAAATAAAAGATATAACATTAGTTCTCATCATTAATTTTTCACAGACCAGGTGGTGAACTCAATCCAGGAGAAGATGAGGTAGAAGGACTCAAACGTTTAATGACAGAGGTATATTGTCTTCATTTTTCTTTTCTTGTTACAGTTGATGTCCAAATGCAATTGAATGTTGAATAATTCTTGAATGTTTTTTAGCCAAAACATTATAAATAGCCTTTTTGCCATTCCTAGCCTTTTGAGTGCTTCAGTGATTCCCAACTAACTTCTTTCTGGTAGTTCATATAGTATGATATACTACTTCATTCATATATTTGTATTATGATAGTGCCAGAGAGCAGTGGTGGATTAGCCACTGGGCAACAGGGCCCATGCCCAGGGGCACCAGCCAATTGGGGGTCCCCAGAAAAATGGGCTCCCTGGCACCCTGACCTGCTCTGCCCACTTGGCGCTCCTGGGGGAGCGCGTCTAGGTGCGTGGGCTTGCCTCACTCCAACCACTTGGCACTCCCAGAGGGGAGTGGGGCAAGTCCTCGTGCTGTGACCCTGTCCCTGGCTGGAGTGGCGGGTGGAGCGGGGAAGCCCTGTCCCCGGCAGAAGCTGGGCTGGTGGAGCAGGGGGCTTCCACTTGCTCCTGGCCCAGGGCCTGAGAAAACTGCAATCCGTCTCTGCCAGAGAGAAGCAGAGTTGTCCAGTGCTTAGGGTACTAGACTAGGACTTGAGGAACCGGGGTTCAATTCCCTGTTCACTGCAGACTTTCCTCTGTGACCTGGCACAACCTTAGACAGGTCTCTCCTTAGCCTCCCCGTGCCTCAGTTTCCCATCTGTAAAATGTGGTTAACACATCTTTACTTCACAGGGGTACTGTGAGGATAAATACATCCGATTATGTTGCTCAGATACGGCGGTGATAGTCAGACCCAGTCAATGATCAGGGCCTCATTGTGGATGACTGCATCCAATTCAGTTGTCCTCTGGTATCCTGAACTAGATGCTTAATTTATACACCAGGGAGAACACATTACTTAGACAACTCCTGCGAGTTCTGATTTAAATGGCTTTATATTCTAGCTCTTGGGGTCAATTACACTCAATTGCATTTGTGAACCATATTTTCAAAAATGTTTGTAAAGGCTGATCTACACTGAAAAGTTACATCAGCATAGCTGCATCTCTCGGGAGTGTGCAAAATCCCTCTCTGAGAAATGTAGTTAGGCCTAGTTTTATACTTTGTCTGGAACATGAGGACCATATATCTATCAATATATTGGTTAGTACACAAGTATTCTAATGCTAATATAAGACTACTTTAGCTTGGCTCTGAATTGCATTAAACCCTTATTACAGCATCCCTTAATGCTTCAAGTATCTGGTTCCTAAGAGTACTAGCAATGGAACATGTAGAAGTTTTTTGACTGCAACTGGATTTTGACAGATACTGGGACGTCAGGATGGAGTTCAGCAAGACTGGGTGATTGATGACTGCATTGGTAACTGGTGGAGACCAAACTTTGAACCTCCACAGGTGAGTGTCCATCCCTGCATAAATTTTGATGATTAAAAAATAATTAGCAAGGTATGTTTCTGCAAAAAACCGAGTCCATATACTAATCAACTTATTTGGGCAGCCAGGGCGTGTCAGGTTTCTTTTGTTGGGTTTTTTTGTTTGCTTCAAGATTTATTCCTTTTTGCTGGCTGCACTTTATTCCTTTTGCTGCGGCTACAGTTGGGGCTTTATTTTTCCAGAATGTGGTGTCCTTTAAAGAATATCATCTCCCTTTAAACTTTATTTTTAATTGTTTAGTGACGATAACGTGCTTGGCACTGTGGTTCAGTTTCTCTTGCTGTCCTGGATTGTTCTTACCTGTTTCCTAGTTTCATATGGTGATCTCATTTTGAGACTGCCAATGTTTTCTAGACTTTGAAAATTTAACTGTGGGGGCTCAGTGTCTTTCGTAATGTTTTATAATATAGTTTTAAAAAAGGTGAATAAAGTTGTATCTGAGGTAGTTCCTTTTCGTCATGTGTGATTGTCCTTCTCTGTGACTCATTCCTGATTCTTTAAGAAGCACTTACAGATCACTGTGTACTTTCAGAGTGCTGTACAAACTAATTAAACTTTTTTTCCCCCTCAGTATCCATATATTCCAGCTCACATTACAAAACCTAAAGAGCACAAAAAGCTCTTCTTGGTTCAGCTGCAGGAAAAGGGTAAGCATTTGTAGACAGGTTCTAATCCATGTTTTATTTTTGTGTGTGCAACTACTGAGACAACCATTACACATTTCATATTGAAAACAAATGTGGTGTTAAATTGATCTTAATGAAAACAGGCTTGTCATCTGTAAAGCAAGGTCCATAAACAAAGTTTCATAAGCGTTCTGCTAAAGAGAATGGGATGGGAGAAATAAAGGATCTCATGCCCCGAATGCAAAAATAATTAAAATGTAGTCAATGACTAGTTCTTTAAAACTCGGCAGCAAGCATGTACTGTTTAGGTTTTTTTGTATTTAATCTAAATTATTTTAATAGATTATAGTAACTTTTTAGGTCACAACATAGGCTGACAAAGTGGGTGAGGTAATATCTTCTATTGAACCAATATCTGTGGGTGAAAGAGATAATCTTTCAATCTTCCACTGACACAGATTGTCAATTTCAAATTAAATTTTAAATAGGATTTTTATATATAATTTAAATAAAACCAATATTTAAAATGTTTGAGTAAAAATATCCAATTTTCTTGAGGTTGTGTTTTTTTTTTTTTTTTAAAAAAATCCACCCTGATTTTTAGTCCTCATAAACTGGGATCCTTTGCCAGGATAACAGGTGGGATAGGAGTGCATATGTACGAAATCCCAGCATTCGAGCTCCACCTCTAACTGTGTAAAATAAGTCCATTGGAACACTGTAGTTCTGGATGACAGTGAAGTGATTTTGTATTTAAAGGGGGGAGGGACCCTCAGTGAAACCATAGTTTGAAATTGTTTGAAACAGCTTTTCCATTGTTAATACTAACTTGGATTCATTTTTAGCTTTGTTTGCGGTCCCAAAAAATTACAAGTTGGTAGCTGCACCGTTGTTTGAGCTGTATGACAATGCCCCAGGATATGGACCTATCATTTCCAGCCTTCCTCAGCTTTTGAGCAGGTATAGTATGCTGCAGATTCACAGTATAAGCAGCTACTATGCTGACTAATAAATTTCTTAGCATTTTTATAATATATTTGAGGTGCATCACTGCCATTCAGATAAGAAATATGCATTCCTTAGTTTTCTCCTTTACTGAAAATAGTTTGTACCTCATCAGGCTTGAGTTCACTGATCTTACTCTTCGTGTCACCTGTGGTGGTGTTGAGCATCTACTCAAGTAACTTGCCATGCAACCCACAGTGTAATTTGTCAACCGTCAGTAAAAGAGGTTCCATTCTTTACCAGTCATGTCCACCCGGTTGCATGGAAAAACCTTTGAGATATCAGAACTGGTACCATCCTAAAAGGCTTGTACCATTCTTACTCTTTATTTTTATCTCCCAATTTATCTGCTCTCAGCCTTTGCAACTGTTGGTGTAATTTTCACTTTTCCTATGTAAAGACCACAAAGGAAGTCTCTTCCAAGAAACTAACAAAATGCTGATCTTTAAGCAGGCACAGGTTGTATTACTGTTAATCACTACTCTTGCAATAGCTTAATCAGAGCTGAAGTCCCAAATCTCTAAACTTGGGTTCCTAAGCAGTTGTTAAAAGCAAGGACATCTGAAAATTAAGATCAATACATACTTGACGCAGTACAAAGAAGATTTGCTATTTCTTGCATAATGGTTTCTGTGTTCACTCTGCAAACTTCAGTTTTAAGAGTTTATAACTCTTGTGTGAAGCTTCTTGTTCAAGCCTGACACCGGACATATGCAGTATTTGTCCAATAGCAATTTTCTTCCACACTATAAGACTCCCCCTCCTGCCCCCCTCCCCCCTGGAAACAAAACTCGCATAGCTTCTCTGTCAGAGAAAAGCCGATTTTGAAGGTTCAAGAAGAATTAGTTCTATAGGATTGGATCTCTTACTATACTTGTATGTAAAGCTGAGGTTAGGGTCTACCTGGTGTTGACAGTTACTGGCTGAGGTACAAATACTTCTTGACTGGAAATCTCATCTTTGCTTCTGTCAGATGTGAGTTTGTTTAGCTCAGAAATAAAATATTGCCTTCTACATATTAGTGATGAAAATAAATCTCTTGCATGGTATAACTGTTTTTTATTTTAGATTCAATTTTATTTACAACTGAATTCCCATATACCTGAAGAGTGTGGTAGAAGAAGCCGTCTCTGTGAGCACAGCTTTAAGATGTAGAGGGAAGAATACATGTGATGCAAGGATTTTTTTTTTCCTGAAAACTGCTAAACTTTCTATTGTCTGAATAGCAAAGTGAATCTCAACTGTGTAGATAGTGGGATGTCAAATGTGATTCAGTGTTTTAATCACTTTTCATTGTAATAGTCACCAGTTTTTTTTGTACAACATTAAACAAAATAGATTGGATTATGTTTATCTATTTCTTATATTACAGCTATTTGGAATGTGTTACTGAAGGTGGGTGAGAAATTAAAGCAAATGCTTTCTTCCAGGGTATCGGTTGAGGGAAACAGTAGGTCTAGATAATGGCGGGGGAGGGGAAACATTTCAGGGAGGGCCCAGTATGTTAACTGAGCATTCAAGCTTGTGCTTTCATGAGCAAAAAGCTCACATGGGGGAACTATCCTGATGAGAGTCTGAAACCTTTAAGAGAAAATAGTACTCAGAGTTAAGGTATGAGTGATTTTAAAAAACAGTAGCCCAGTAATCTGCCTTATGATTAGAATGGAAATGCTAAGTGGCAAGGTGGGCCATTGCTATAAGTGAAACTGATGTTGACTGGTGTGAACTCCACTGCTCATTACTGGTGATCTCAATGGAGTGATCTGGAACACAACTGATTTCAATCAGAAAACCTTTCATGGGACTGTCCTATATTAATGGGATCCAGGTAAAATAGGAAAATACCCTAAAAAGCCTTAAAGGAGCACTTTTCTGATTGGTCATGGGGGCAGGGCTGTAGAACTGAATTTAGATTAGTAACTGCATTGAATATGTATCTGTCCAATCCCTGGGAGCTGTCTCTTTACTGAGCAGAGCTCCTATAGTTTAACTGGTTTCAGAGTAACAGCCGTATTAGTCTGTATTCGCAAAAAGAAAAGGAGTACTTGTGGCACCTTAGAGACTAACCAATTTATTTGAGCATCCGATGAAGTGAGCTGTAGCTCATGAAAGCTTATGCTCAAATTGGTTAGTCTCTAAGGTGCCACAAGTATTCCTTTTCTTATAGTTTAACTGTATACTTGTTTCTTCTTAAAAGGATCCATTGAGGCTCGCGGATTTCATTTTCTCAATTTACCTCAATCTACTGCCTGTATTAAACATATCCAAACAACTAGGATTCTCTTTTATGGGTGTGTCAAATTATTTTTTAAAAGGTATCTTCTATAAATTGGAATAAAGGGTACACTAAAACAATACATGTCAAGTGATTTCCTAATGGTACCATATCCATCCATAGTATGGACTAATGGCTAATTTACACAATATGTCTGAGCTACACTAGGAACAAAAAAGACAATTTAAACAAAACTGCCTTAAAATATATTGTGCTGAAATGTTGGGGAGGGGGAGGAGATACGGGGACTCTATTGTATAGGAACTTTATTTAAAAAACTGACTACATACTTTGTGCCTAACGCTAGGCTTCTGAATAAATTGGTTTTATTTTCTGAGGTGTAGAGCTCTCACAAAAGTCGATAGGAACTGCAGCTGCTCAGAATCTCAGGTCACTTCTATTTAGGAGTTTCGTTTTAGGCACCCAGATTTGAAAACTGCCCTTGGCTTCCTGCCCCATCATTAACCTGTACTATGAGGTCTCTTCCCTGTCTCACTTTTCCTTAAATTACTACTGAACTTCTCCACATCTAAACCGTACTTTGTAAGGAGAGACAACATTTTGGGAGAAACCCCCAGTTGGGATATTAAACTTATGGATTAATTCTAAATTCTGTTTTGGCTGTATTGCTCCCTAAGACAGAAGCTGATTGCTATTGTAGTTGTCCCCAGAAGAATTAGCTAATAGTCTGTGTCCCAGCTTCTAGCTTTTGACATTACTACAGGTGAGAAAGGTCCACCCTCTGCTAACCTGATGGCTTTGGAGGATCTACCTTGTGATGATGAGCAGGGGAACTGAGTCCTGCAGTCTGTGGGAGTTGCAGTTGAGGGTATGTTGTGTGGATGTTTGATGCAGGGTTAGGGAATATGAACACAAAGTGGAAAGAGCATCTAGTAACTTTTGTAACAAGGAGAGAAAGGAGTGGAGAAAAATCTTTGATCCTCTGAAAAGCCCAAGCTTAGTATGAACTTAATGTAAATAATGAGCCTTAATTTCTGTTTCCTCATTTTTGAGGAATGATTTACCATAAAAAAACAAGGGAGATAAACTTGGGTCTAAAATAAGGGGTAGGTGATTAAATGTTAAATTTGCTGTCTGAGAGGGTCTACATAATGCCTGTTGCAATTTTTAATTCACACTTTTTAACATCCTAGACCTGAACAGAGAACAAGAGTGTAAGTTGTCATGTAGTTGCTGAGGAAAATCTCTTGCTGGACTGTAATAAGCAAAAAATAGAACTGGTGGAGCAGCCAAAGCTGCATGCCAAATAAATTCTTGCAAATGGCATGTAAAAATAAATACTGAGTGTTCGATACAAGAATTGCCATGAAGGATACAGGTAATTAAGTTTGACATAACAGCCTAAGAAGGGTAGGAATTTTAATATTACATGAGCCTCGCAGTGGTACAGAAAATAAGAGACTAATTAGTTTTAAATACTTGGCCGATGTGGTATGATGTACTACTAATTTGAAGGAACAACCAATTCCCCTTTTTTCCACTGTGGTGGACGCTAACCAATATTGACTGCAAAAATAAAATTGCAAAATGGACTACTGCTTCAGTGCCATCATGTGGCAAAAAACAAGCCCAGTTCCTCCGAATTAGCCATTGGGTGACCATTTTAAAAGCTAAGAAAACTCAACAAATAAACCTTACACATGGGAGTTAAAAATAAGCTAGGGCTGTGAAGTGATTAAAAAAATTAATCACGATTAATAGTGCTGTTAATAATAGAATATAATTTATTTAAATATTTTTGGAAGTTTTCTACGTTTTAAATATATTGATTTCAATTACAACACAATACAAAGTGTACTGTGCTCACTTTATTTTTTTTATTACAAATATGTGAAAAAACAAAAGAAATAGTATTTTTTTTCAATTCACCTAATACCAGTACGGTAGTGCAATCTCTATCATGAAAGTTGAACTTACAGTTATAGAATTATGTACAAAAAACCTGCATTAAAAAATAAAACGTAAAACTTTAGCGCCTACAAGTCCACTCAGTCTTACTTCTTCAGCCAATGGCTCACACAAACAAGTTTGTTTACATTTGCAGAAGATAATGCTGCCCGCTTGCTTACAGTATCAACTGAAAGGAGGAACAGGCATTCATATGGCACTGTTTGTAGCCGGCATCGCAAGATATTTACATGCCAAATGCGCTAAAGATTCATATGTCCCCTCATGCTTCAGTTGCCATTCCAGAGGACATGTATCCATGCTGATGATGGGTTCTGCTCGATAACGATGCAAAGCAGTGCGGATGAACGCATGTTCATTTTTATTATCTGAGTCAGATGCCAGCAGCAGAAGGTTGATTTTCTTTTGGTTGTTCGGGTTCTGTAGTTTCTGCATCGGAGTGTTGCTCTTTTTAAGATTTCTGAAAGCATGCACCACACCTCGTTCCTCTCAGATTTTGGAAGACACTTCAGATTCTTAAACCTTGGGTTGAGTGCTGTAGTTATCTTTAGAAATCTCACCGTGGTACCTTCTCTGCGTTTTGTCAAATCTGCGGCGAAAGCATTGTTAAAATGAACAACAGGTGCTGGATCATTGAGTCTGCTATAACATGAAATATATGGTAGAATGCAGTTAAAAGAGCAGGAGTCATAAAATTCTCCCCCAAGGAGTTCAGTCACAGGTTTAATTAATGCATTATTTTTTTTTAGTGAACATCATCAGTATGAAAGCATGTCATCTGGAATGGTGGCTGAAGCATGAAGGGGCATATGAATGTTTAGCATATCTGGCATGTAAATACCTTGCAATGCCAGCTAAAGAAGTACCATGCGAACACCTGTTCTCAGTTTCAGGTGACATTGTAAATAAGAAGTGGGCAGCGTTATCTCCTGTAAAAGTAGACGAACTTTTGTCTTACCGATTGGCTGAAAAAGAAGTAGAACTGAGTGGATTTGTAGGCTCAAAGTTTTACACTTTTTTTTTGTTTTTTTGAGTGCAGTTATATAACCAAAAAAACCCTACATTTGTAAGTTTCACTTTCATGATAAAGAGATTGCACTATAGTACTTGTATGAGGTGAGTTGAGAAGTACTACTTTTATCATTTTTACTGTGTAAATATTTGTAATGAAAATAATATAAAGTGAGCGCTCTACACCTTGTATTCTGTGTTGTAATTGAAAATATAGAAAAATATCCAAAAATATTTAATAAATTTCAATTGGTATTCTATTGTTTAACGATGCGATTAAAATTGCAATTAATCACTATTAATTTTTTAATCGGGATTAATTTTTTGTTAATCATGAGTTAACTGTGATTAATTGACAGCAAGCTGGTGGTTGTTTGGCCTATGTGAAATGAGTTGGACCTCCGTCTAGTTCACAATAGAGATCTCACTCGTTTCAATGAAGTTTCATAGGATAGAGACTAAATATCAGCACAGCTCTTTCGTCACCCCTACTCGTGGTTCCTTCAGGGTCAGGTTGTGGCACACTGGTACGGCTGTATGTGGAAAAACTTCAGTTCTCCATGGCTGTCATGCCAGCATCTTGACACACATTACATTTATTTTTAAGCAGTGGTTCTCGACTAGGGATACACATACCACTGTGGGTACGCAGAGGTCTTCCAGAGGGCACATCAACTCATCTGGATATTTGCCTAGTTTTACAACAGGCGGCATAAAAAGCACTAATGAAGTCAGTACAAACTAAAATATCATAAGGACAATGACTTGTTTATACTGCTCTATAGACTATATCAGTGTTTCTCAACCTGGGATGGGGTTAGGGAGGTTGCAAGTGCAGGGCTGGTGTTAGGGGGTGGCAAGCAGGGCAATTGCCTGCCAGGGCTGGATTAACATTTTGTGGGTCTGGTGCCAAACATATTTGTGGGCCCCCATGGGGCAAGGCGCAGGGGGACGGGTTGGTCAGGCTCCAGCGTGAAGGGCGGGCTGGGGCTATGAGGCACAGCGCGGCGGGAGCATCCCTGCTCTACGCAGCCCAGCAGGAGGGCACTGTTTACAAACCTGCAGCTGCCAGACGCACACTGGCCTGCCCAGCCCTATGCTGCCAGCATGCCCCTTCCCCTTGAGGGCA